ATGTAATCCATCACCATAGAGGCTGGCCTGCCTCCAGAAATCTTGTCCGCGTCACATTGGACGCCGCAGCTGCTCTCAGCGCATCGAGTGTTTCCCTCAAACAATTAGAGACTCTCACAGGCTTATTAGCCCTATGCTCAGGAGTTGTCTGGCTAGGAAGAACAAGGCTACAGTCTCTTTACACCTTTCAAGCCGCTTTCCCACATGGAAGAGGCGCGCGCCGCCGTATGCCTTACGAGGTACGTGACGATTAGGAATTGTGGAGGGACTCATTGTCTCTTTTCAACGGCGAACTATTAATTGACCCCTGCCGCCGCTCTATCACGCCCCTCTACATAGTTGCCTCCAACACATGCCAGCGGCACTTCTTCTCATCCAAGTCTATATCAGTCTGCTGGCTGGCCCAATTTCACCTCCTTCATCCAAGCAATCCTGCCTCACTGGTTCTTGCTCAAGACGCACACGCGCACATCAATACCACCGAAGTAGACGCCTTTCTACAAGGCTTCCTACTCTTCAGCCACCGTTGGCTTCAACATACTCTTTTTATCCAAACGGATAGCTCCACAGCCTACACAGGACTGAGTAAACAGGTGACCCGTCACAGCCAAACTATACACGTTCATGATCCCTCTTGACTGGGTGAGGTCACCAATAATCAGAATATCTCCCGCAGCCAAGGAGCTTTTAGCTGCTCATGCACTGTTTACTGTACCTATTTGATAGAAGTCTTCGATACTTCACGTTGAAGAGGCATTCACCGCTTTCCAGTTGTGACCTAATTTCGCTACCTTTTTCAATCCGCATATTGCGCATGACACTTATAAGTGCCGATGGTCACCACACCGGTCAAGGCATCGCTAGCGATTAGACTTGCTCAAAATATGAATGTTCGACGGGTCTCAAGTTTAAAGCCCCATTGGCCTTTCTCACCGTACCCTGTAGATGGATATTGCGTTGGTATTTGGATCAATCGTGGACCACGATAACTTGACTAATGGAGGAAAGTACTATAACGCAGACAGCGTAAACTTATATAAAACCTTGCCTTCCTTGTGGCTTGCTTCATCGTAGACACTATAAGCCAACCCTTTCGGAACAATGGAGAATACACCGTTTTCCCCCTTCCATTGGCGACGTCGGTGACCGGCCACGGTTATCTTTGGCAGCTAGAGAGTCGAACAACAGTAGGATTTAAAGTCAGATAATTATTGTATATTATTTCAGACAATAGTCACCACTCCAAACCACGTGCATTTACCAAACCCCAGGCGGGCCCAAGTCTGACGTAGAGCTGTTACGAATAGTTTTTGTAGTGGATTTCGAATGCGAATAATTTGCTCGCAAATATATCTGCAAATACTCGGCGTCGTTCTCTTCGATTTAGGTATGTATGTGAATGTATATACTGCTCTCCCCTCATATCAGTCCTCGTCTCCAACATTACTTGAATCCCGCATCACTTGAATGCGCGTTGACACTATCAAAATGCCGACCGATAACAGACAGGCGGGGTCTGCCTTGGGCTGTAGTCTTTGCAAGATCCAGCTGCTCACCTTTTGCCTCTTTTGACTAGCTCAAATGGGTCCGCTATATCAAGTGATCTGTGAAGCCAGGATATCTACACTAAAGCTCATCGCGGGGAGTTTGGGGAGAATTGCTTTCAGTATCTTCGATATTCAACTCATATAGGAGGAGACCTCTTTCCATTTCTACGGCCTAGGACTAGTGCAGAGTAGTATGTACCAAAATTATCCATGAAGGTGTAGTATTTTATATATTCCTTGAGACTCCCGTCAGTATTGCTTATATCATCTTAATGTAGAGTAGGCTTGAGTAGCTTGTAATCGCCGCCTGAAGCGATATCTTTGACTATGCAGAGAACAGAGTTTATTGCATCACGAAGCTTGAATGAGCCAAAGAATTGTATGTACGAGGGGCACCTCAATACATGATTCTACACCTTATAGATCTGATCTTTGGCTAGGAAAAGAAATCTATGATTTCAGATGAGAAAGTGTAGTCGCCCTTTGGTGATTCAATGTTGAGTCGCTCAAAGATGAGGTGGTCAGAAATATGAGCTTGTCATCGCGGATTAAATATTTACCACAAAACCTCAATTAAAGAGTGCGGGTCATGAAGGACTCAATCGTCAGCCAACGTTTCTTGATCGATCCAGCATCCCTTGTTCTCAAAACCTCTCCTACTCGTCTCTCGCCGACTATCCAAGCCAAATGTGTCGCTGCAAATAGTTGGGGTAAAAAGGAGACATGGGTTTCAACAGGCCTCAATTAAAAAGATGTGTCCCTCAACGCGTTCTACCATGCAGAGAACTTGCGCAACAGAAGGAGCCGAGACAACTATAAATACGTCTAAGTCACTTGATAAGTCCCCTCCCATTGGCCCAGTACTGAATGTTTTACTGTATTGACATTTATAAATTACTTCGTGGACCAGCAAGTCAGACAGTTCCTGTGAGAGACTTGATTTCAAATGCACTGCTATTCAAATCAGCCGATCAGAGATACAATTTTCGGGCCAGCAGTCAAAGTGTCTACGCAAGGATGTCTCCGCTATAGCAGCCACTGAGCTGATCTACTGTACAGACTATGTGTGTATATTCAAGAGAATGCGCGAAGACCTCTGTCGCAGGTATGTGATTCTTAACCTGATCTGTCTGAATTCTACTCATCCTGAGGAGGATGCGATATCAATAGAACCAAGGACATTTTACAGCTCTTTGCCCCGTCTTCTTCTCAGATCCACAGAACGTTTGAACGATGAGATGCATCCCGGATCCAAAGGGAATTAATGGCAGTGAAGCCTAATTGACATTACACCACGGCCCGAAGAATACAGTATCCCTGTTAGTACTGTAAACAAAGCCATGGCTCAAAATATTGTAATTTAAGGTATGAATCGACTTGTTATTCGGAGGTATACATGAGCCTATATACAGCAATGAGGCAAGTTGAGAGAAAATCAACTCTGTCGTCTGTATAGACGCCTAGGAGTAAATTCTGACGATGCGGCCTGGTTTCCGGATCTGCACCAGCTTTATATCACAACAAGTAGCACCTTTGCCGGCCGGGTGGGTGCATCATGCTAGTACTGACTGCCAGGCACCTGAGATGTCGTGCTTCTTGCAGTCTTTCTGGACTGAATCTTACACATTGGCCAACTCTGGCGGTGGCCGCTCTGGTAAAGATGCCAACACTCTCCTCGAAAGTTTTCACGCCTTTGATCCTGAGGCCGGCTGCGACGACACGACCCTCCAGCCTTGCTCAGTCTGAGCATTGGCGAATCACAAGCTTTGAGCCGACTCTTTGCGAGATGTGTACACTGTCAACTCGGGAATCGCAGCAAGTAAGGCGGTCTCGGTTGGTCGTTACTCTGAGGACTCTCAATAACATGGTGACCCTTGGTATCTATGCCTCTGCAACTGAGCAACTCAACGATGCTATCTACACTTGGGATCATGTTGGCTCTTTGACTATCAGTTTGGTTTCATTGAAATTATTCAAAGAATTGTAGCAGTTCTTCTGCCGCTACCGGTACCTACTCCGCATCCAGCACTACATACTTCTCCATTGTCAGCGCGGTCAACACTTACAATGATGACTACTACAGCATTGTGATATGTTCTTTGGAGGTCACAATCAACCGCGATAATATTTTCTGTTTAGGAAACCTACTTTGTGACCAACGGATCTTTGTCCGAGCGATTCTGCTCGATTGGACATCTACTGCACTTACCATATATACGTTCAACAATTGCATTCAACTTTCGTTCGATTACTCTGGATCCGTCTCATAGTGTAACTTTGTCTTGTTTATTTCGACACTGTACTGCTCTTCCCAATTCAGGTCATGGTGTTAGACTTTTAACTTCTCAAGGTTTGGACAATTTGGATTATAAGATAAGGTAGAAGATAAAAAGACTTGACCCATCAAAAGGCAAGCTTGGTGCCGAGAATGAGCCAGGTGTCCGGGTACATCAGGGAGGATGCCGAAGTGATAAAGACGGGACGAAGAGATTTTTGAGTATTATGACCCTAAATAAGGAGCAAAATCTCAAATATAATGTCTTGAATCTGAATGCACTATATACAGTATATGATCCTCTGCCCTACTTGAGACTGAGTCTGTAATCCAAATACTCGTAGAATTTGGCCAAAATTGCATAACTTTTGAATGTCACGGGCTGTCCCATATTTGGGCTTTTGGGCCGCCCATCGTGGGCTCTAGGCGCGCCCACGACCCTTTTGGCCCACCCATGGGCCCCAGACTAGAGCCCAAAGCCCGGCCATGGGCTGTGCCGAGGTCTAATTACGACTGTACAATTCTTGTCCCGAGTGAGTCCGTCACGCCTATACCGTCTTCGGAAATGCCCGGTGCGCCCTAACACGGCCTTATTGGAGCGACAGTCGGAGAGTGCCAACCAGAGTACAATATGGCATGAATGGTGCTGCGCTGCCGAAGTGAATTGTAAGTGATCTATTCGGTGAGTTGATAATGAGCACGAAGTTCTGCGAAGTGTTGAGATTCTCAATGAGTCAAATCAATGAGCACGAGGAGCAAGTGGCGGGTGATCTTATACTTCTTTTCTGGAATATTGAAGTTGGTGAGCGTTAACCAAATATTTACCGGACATACGGCAGCACTAAGAAATAGAAGCGCCGAGCGACTGACAGGGCCTGAAGGCTTGATATGGCCATGCTGTTTCGTCCAGGACGCGTTGGTCCCCAATCACATCGGCGAACCACCGGAAGATCCAGGCAATAGAAACGATTCGGTCTACACGGTACTTCTAGCCGACCTATTTGGGGGCAGTCGATGGCTCTTTCTAAACCTATAGGCAATTTTATTGGGCCAACTGAGACGCGAACTTTGAAAAAGAATAATCTATAAGAAGCCTTTTCATTCACTGGGTGGCATCTTGGTCAAGTGGAACTACGCATTATTTTATTCTTATGCCTGAAAGATAGCCCAGATACATTTCACTCTTGCATTCGCCGTAGGATAGCTCGCAAGTCTGGGCGCTTGACTGGCTTGACAAGAAAAGTGTCGATGCCAGAACCAAATGCCTCCTTCTGAGCATTAGCATTATCGAGTCCAGTCAAAGCGGCGATGACTATGGGGGCCAACGTTTGTTGTACCAAATCGGTCATCTTGGCCCGATGCTCCTTCTCTAGGCAACGTATTTGCCTGGAGGCTTCAAAGCCATCCATAACTGGCATTGAGATGTCTAGTTCATCAGCACCAGCAGGAGGGATGGAGAGAAAAGAAAAGGTCGAAGCTTGAACATACCAATGATGACAACCCGGAATTTGCCAGGATGGGATTTATAGATGTCGACTGCCTCGGCCCCATTCTGAGCTGTCATGTAATGATAATTATCCTTCTTTGTGTAGGCACAAAGTAATTGGAGGTTCAGGTCATTATCATCCACTAGTAAGACGAGTGGTGCGGAGGTCTCTGGTTCCGCCTCTACCTCCGAATATGAAGTCGGCTGGGCGGAACTCTGTGAGTCGGCTTTCAGGTTCTCCTTGTAAGATGGGAGTCGATAACTCCGAAGTTCTGGACTGCGCATTGTCTCCGTCGTCGGCCGCTTACCGATCTTCATCCTGTCTTTAGGTGCATCACTAGCCGCAATGTCTACTGGGAGATGGGAGGATTCAGGCATTTCTACCCAGCGAGTCGGTTCACCGGCATCGGGCCGACCAAATTGTTGATCGACCTGTCGTTTTATGCAAATATTCAATGCCCGAGCCATTTTCCGGGGTCCGCACGGCTGGCTTATAAACTCGAAGAGCGGTGTTTCGCCCCGGCTCTTGGCTGCGACGAACATTCTGTGTGCTTCCTCGGGGGACTGGCAGATTACCACAACCGGTGAGCTGTGACCATCTCCGTTGATGAGGTCTGGACTGAGGCCGAACAGGTTTCTTCCCTCAACATGCTCAGAGTCCAAATCTGTCTGCACAGCTAAGTAAAAGTCAAAGAAGACGCGCTCGCCCTCCAGGGAAGACACATTGGTCACCTCCAATTCAAACCAATCTCGGCACAACCGCTCTAAGGACGAGTACAAGGCCGTGTCTCGTTGAGACCGGAGGGATGACCCGAACCCTAGGAGACCAATTGTCTTTCCCTGGGTACATTTCCGCGGGGGACCAAACATAGATCCCGACGACGAGGTATCTGATGGATCAGATGACGGGTAGAGCGGTGTCCGGATCGAGATCTGAGTGCCAACTCCCTGGGTTGATTCAATTTCGATCGAGCCGCCGAGGAATCCAACAGCTTGGCGAACGATGCTCAATCCTAGTCCGCTCCCAGACGCAAGTGAATCCTCTTGCTTAAACGGAGTGAAAAGGTCGCCTTGCAAATATTCGGCCCCGATACCTTTCCCAGTGTCCTTCACCGTAAGAGTGACCTCAAATTCCTGTACTTGCTCCGTTGGCAATTCACTGTCAGGACTTGTGTCACCTTGGGATGACTTCAACCCGAGGTAAATATAACCTGAGGGTGTGTACTTGAGCGCATTACCGAAAACATTCATCAGGATGCGACGCCAAGCACCAGCATGTGTGTTGAAGTCCCATTCTGTATCTGGCTGGATGTCGAAAATGATCGTGACCTGACTGGCCCGAGGGCCAACTTGATCGGACGGACTCGCTGGGCCATCCAACCGTGAGGAAGAATCAGTCAAGGCTGGAGGCGCCGCCTGGGGATGATGGTAAAAACTGTATCCGGCGAAAACACATTCTGTGACCTCCTCAAGCACCGCGTCCAGCTTGACGTGGGAAAATGAACTCTTTTCACCACGGTTTTTACTCTGCACGCGACCTCCCTCTGTCGAAGTGGCGGATAAGCTCGATTGATTTTCTCCCGACGTTCCACTTAAGCGAGACTGTTTCTTTTGATACTGGTCGATGAAAGTCAGATCAAGCAGACTGTTGATGGTATCTAGGAGTGTGCGACCACAAGACTCGATTGTATGGACCATGCCATGCTGTAGAGCATTCATGGCAGTGTCACTCAGAATGTCTGCCGTGCCCAGTATTCCATGCAGTGGGTTCCGGAGCTCGTGCGTGATGCTGCTCACAAGATTGGTTTTGGCCTTATCAGCGAACTCCACGTCGAGTCGACGGATTTCGGCCATGATACTATTGGCAAAAAAGCCGAGATGTACACGAGCTCATTCTCGGTGGTGAAGATGTGCTCCGGGTCGTTCGTCCACACCAGTATTCCGGCATACGATCGATTTTTGTCAGAGTCCCAGATGGGTAGAAGCAGGATACTTCTGGCACCACCGAATATTTTGATCAGATTACTAGCGTCTTGTTGGAATGTTGGCTTACGTCGCCGCTTGCTGAGGGGGCGTTGGTCTTTGGTGCGAGGCCCCCCAGAAGACGGAGCGTGATCGGGCTCGGACGGATTCCGCGAAAGATCGCTATCTTCGGAAACCATTCCATTGGCATTGTAAGTGAAAATCTTACCGTGGGGGTATCGCCGGATCATCGAGCTGAACAGAGGCTCTGGAACCACAACTGCCTGGCCGGCCCTCGCCTGGTCGTTGATGCTAGAAACCCTAGAGCTCGAAAAGCCCATGCACTCAGACACAAGAGTACTGTCAGCCCTGCTCTTCTGGTCACCCTTGGTAAACTTGCGTTTGGAAGATGCAGAATCGGTACTTTCGTCGCTACTCGATGTTGAAGCTTTTGAGCTGGGACCAGAAACCCTCCGGCTAGTCTGTTTGATGAGACTCCCAAAACGTTCGCTATTCGTGTCGAGGAACATGACTCCCTCGGCTCCAATCGACTCCCTGATGAGGTTCGCCGCGCGCGAGAAAACATGTTTGATGCCAGTCGGAAGAGAGTCATCCTGTAGGCTTTCACCCGCGAGGACGCTTCGAACAGACCCATCCGCTTTGTTGACTTCTACGCGCGGCTCCTGTCCGCGTCCGGTATCTTTGCTGTCGCTATTCGATACGGGTTCGGAATCCTTGATAGGAACCTTAGGCGGCTGGCGGATTGCAAGGTTCTTCTCGATCTTTTCCTTGGAGACCTGTTGCAGAGCTTGTTGCTTAATATTCAACTGACCCTCGGTGGGCTCCCCAGACTGCTCCGAGGCGGCATACTGCGCATTGGCTTCCGGCCATGAGTCGCGAAGGGTCGACCTGCCCTCAACGAAACTCCCCAGTCCGGCGATCATCCGTTTTGCCTGGCGACCTTTCTGAGTGGAGTGATCCATGGCCAAGTGCTCCATAATCGCTGCAGCCATATCCTTCATAAATTGCAGATCATGTTGATCCGGGCCCGACATCCTTGGTTCAAGGTCCATCACACTGTAGGCACCAATCGTGAACCCTTTGGGGCTCACGATAGGCACTGCAGCATAGAAGCGCACATCAGACAGCGCGCGCAGCACTTGACGAGACCTGAAACTTTCGTTCTGTGTCACATCCAAGACAACTAACGAACTATATCCGACGACCTCGTCGGCTTCTGAATTTAAACACTCGACTTGCTGACAAAGTCCCCTCTCTTTGGGGAACACACAGCATCCTAGCCGCAGCCGGTCGTGTTCGTCGCGGACACTCCCACCGATCAGTCCCAAGGTCCGGGTTGCCTCCACGACAACGTGTTGGTGGGTTTTATCGAATAGAGAAACCAGGGCTCGTCGGGTGCCTAGACGTATGGCGCCTAGCTGAGCGAAGGAGGTCAAGGCCGAATCCTGCGACGGTTGCGAGATGAATGTATTCTCGCTTGCATGGTCGAAGGGGGCATATTGCGATGCGGAAAGTTCGCGCGGAACATATCTGCCCCAACGCCATGTCAGTTGTTCATCTGTATTACCTGTGGAGCACGAGAAGGCACGACCCACGATGCAGAAAGCCTTACTTGTAGAATTCCCGTTCTTGGGCTAATCTGTAGTGTGACTGGACCGCAGCACCTCCTAGCGTAGCCATGATGAGAATCCAGCGGGTGGTAATTTGCAGAAGTTCATCTTTACGGAGGGGGTTAGAAATGATATCAAATCCAGTTACTCACTCGGCCGGTTTCTAGAAACTGGGATGAATTCCAAGGCAGCGTCCAATGGGAGTCTCTACAGCCCCACTGTTGCTCTTCCGGCGGATTGGCGTTTTCCATGATGTCACGCACCTCCCACCAATCCCAAACCTACAAGCACAAAATAGCGAAGTCCACAGATATCCAGTAAGTATTAAATCCTTTACAGTAGCGATCGGAATTGGCTATACCACTACGCTCTTTCTATTTGATTGCCCGAAAACATACCCGATAGACACTAATCCATTTTGAAGCACCGCTCTGAAATGTCGTCAAAATTGTGGCGGTTTTGGCTAGAGTCAGGACAAAAACACGAAGATTCTCCACAATTCAAAACATGTATTTTACATGTAACGTATTCGGTAAGCCAGTGGCGCACCCAACCCAACTTATTAAATTTCAATACATCTCTTTCAACCAAAACGCCATTAAATTAATTCAACTAACCAGTTGGTCTATCTGGACATGTCTCTCTTCTCTGCCCTGGTGGCCTACATATTCCACTTGCTCGCTGGCCCTGGGCACGTGGCTGTAAACCCACGGAAACCTGTTCACGATAGGTATTGATACGCGCTACTTGGGCCTCAAATGGGTTTGAACGTAGCTCGCGAACCTCCTGGACCGAGAGATCTCCTCCGTGGGCTATCTGCCTAGTCGACCGAGTCGAATTGAGTGATAGGTTTGAAGGTTGACGGAAAAAACATAGCTGAATCATCAATTATTAATCGATTTTATCCTGAGGTAAGGCGTCGAAAGATTATGCCCATGCGGGTTCATGCGGGTCGATGAGGGTTACGTACCTTCCATCGACCCTTCCCAACCCCCAGGGTTGGTTGAGGTGTGAAAGTCCGCACCTGCACCTCTTAAGGTGCGGTGCAGGTTCTGAGATTCCGCACCGCGGGGAGGTGCAAAGCCAGGTCTAACTATAGTAGTATCGTCCAGTCACACGCAACGGTCGCGGGCTATTTTCCGAAGTCAAAGAGTTCTGGTTTTCTCGTTTATCCTTTCTCAGTAAAACAAGAATCCTCTTCCAGCCACGGCTTTTGTTATCTAGTGTGATTGTTATGTTACTCGCCTCTGTCGAATGTCGACGCTCCCGATAAGCTAATATGGGCCTTCTAAACACTCTGATTGTGGTTGTATTTCTTGTCGGAAATATGTTGTATCTGCATGTGGATTTCTGAGCAAACACCCAGAATATCTTACGATATCAATTTCAGACACATCACATAACGAAGTCCGGTTGCGCGGGCGACCCTACCAAACCTTGAAAACCCTTCTTTTTAAAAACCACTATTTAGAACAATAAAAAAAGAAATAATTTTGTAGGGCATTTAGAGTATCTATGACCTTTAACCCACAGCCAGAAGAACATTTGATCTGTCGCCGAGCCAAGGGCATAGAAGGTAGAGCAGGTTCCGTAGTCTTCTGCTGTCCCTTTGATCCCTTTCTCTCCCAGCCAGTAGCCTGCTGTCAACGAGAAGAAGGCATTACCGTGAGTATGCTCTAAGATTTGTTCCATAGGATCACCCTTACCATGCAAGGAAGCCAGAATGATCCACATTTAGAAAGCCTTCTAAATGACCACCAACAGCTCGATGAGATATAGAATCAGGTCCGACAGTTCTAACATAATGCCGATCAGGAGCGAACGCTCCATATAGCACTCTCAATTTAACCGACGGGGCTCCATAGCATTGGAACAAGAATCCGACTTTGCATAGTCTGGATAAGTGGTACAGTCTTGTGCACTGTCTCGGCCCAGCCCTCAACGTCCCACGATTGGTTACGGCGGATCTTGCGTTCTTCCAGATTGGCAAACTGCCAGAGGTGGTGCACCGTGTTTAAGTCACCAATCTGCACAAGCCATGCGCCCACGCCCTCCATAACCTCACGACGTGCTGTAAGACCACGACGCCACTGCGTTTCCCATTCCAGGAGTTTGCCCGGATGTAGTGTGTACGATCGAAGCTCAAACAGTCCACCGAGACGGCGGGGCGGCGTCGTAGGCCAAAATGAGAACTCTTCCATCAATGATGTTTTTTTGCTCTTAATAAGACTCTTGAGTTTGCGATTGAAGCAACGGAACTCTGGGTGCTCCGAGATATTGTGAAGGGAAGCGTGGTAGCCTTCGTACCGTTGGTATTCCCAGATGTGGACTGTTCACAGGAGAATTGGTCAGACCACACGCCCAATTTCATCAGGTGGATTCGAACTTACTAAATGTGTCATTGTCACCCACTTGCGTCCGCCAGCTGCCCACCAGATTAACGCGGTTCTCCTTGGTACCCGCCATGTAGGGGTACCACTGGCCCACCAAATCAACATAATCATCGACCTTGTCGGGCTTGACGTCGTGCATGACAATGGAATGGACATATTTACCGCGCGCCAGGACCTCTGAAAAGGATCGCGCCATATTCTTTTCGAAATTTTGGCCTTGCTTGGTGCCGTATATGAGCGAGGACAATGGTCCGCTTTTGGAGACGGCTTCACGATTCTGGTCTTCACCTAAAGCCGGTACATAGAGAATAAGCTCAGTAAATTCTAGATTCGCATCCTAGCAGCCTCAAAAGCAGGTCGGATACCGCCATGACTGTTCGCATTACTCACTCGCAGAGTAGTGGGAGCATGATCATGGAAAGAAAGTAGGAATAGAGGCAAAATAATTGGTTGACTAACTCTTTTGCTGTTCATTTCTCAAACAAGTATGCTTGAGCTTCGCGCGAAACTCATTCTGTCGTCTGAGGAACTCTCCAGTGGACTCGACTGTGACATCTCTGATAGAGGGGCAACGATAGGCAACGGCTGACGAGCTGAAGGATCGCAACAGCGAGGTCGCTGGGTGGACGGTGCGTATACCCAACATCATGGCTTGTGAAACGTACAGCTAGAAATAATAAGAATATGGTCTTGCAAGCTGGAGGGCTTTGAAGGCTAACAAGAAGTTAGCAAGGGGGAATGACCAAGTCTGGCATCGGATCAAAAGGACGCAGAGAATGTGAAGGGGAAGGAAGTGAGAAAAGTGGCTGGACTAGGTAAATGAATAGGGCTGAGGGGAACCTAAGAGCGTAGGTTGAGAGAGACGGATGTGATGGTGGCGAAGGCACGCGATGATCCGTGGAATGAGTAGCGATCAAATCGTACGAAAATGTACCAGTAATCATTGCAGAGACTACATGCAGGGAATACACTAAGAATGGTTAATACCTGCTAATTATATTATGGATTTGACAGGGTTAGAACCAGAATGAACATCGAGTTGGGCAGCAAATGAGGAACCTCGAAGTTGTGCGGTTAACAGCTTCCTCCAATTACTTTGCGGCTTCTGATGACAGCATTTAAAAAGGAAAGGTGCTTCGTCGTAGAAAAAAATTGATACCATGTCAATGGTCATGTCGATTTCAAAAGCACTACTGCGAATTGCAACCAAGATTGCGTGGATGATGCGGAGAGAAATCATGGTTGTTTCCCAGACTCTAAACGGTCTGGGCGACCCACCTGCCTTAAGCGGCGAAGACATTCTAGACAGGCAAATGACGAATTTATTCAAAGTTTATTATTGATTACCCTCGTACCCCCGTGTGCCCGTGTGGGCAATGAGCGCCTCCGGTAAGCCATCCGGCCTATCTAATACGCCACAGCCGAGCCCCCTTCAGGTCTCCATAGATATAGATATAGCGCCGCGGCTACGAGAACCGCATCATATTTGTCAAGAAAGGGATCTAGACAATTAATATAGCGGATACTAAAACGAATACTGCAATCGCGGAGCTGTACTAGTCATTCAAAAAAAAATAAAAACATCGCTCATCATGCTTGCGCTCGAGGCCCCAGTTTCAGCCTGCGCAAAAGGCTTGGAAGCCCTCCATGCGGTCCATTTTATAAAACGCCTAACAAAAAGGGTTTAACTGACCCAATGATACTCACTACGATTAAAAAGACATCAACTGCGACCGAAGCAAGATTCTACTTTGAAGGCCAACTCAAGTGTCTTTTGACCACTGCGTTCGGCCACCCCTGGATGGCTGATCCAGCCATTTGTTTCTGGGTAACTTTCAAAACCTCTGCCGATCAGTATATTGAACCAAATAAAACACCAAAGTCCCTCAAATCCTTGGTACACTACGTAATGGTCAACTTTGACAACAAATTTTCACATTGCCGAGCTTTTGCGAGGATGGAGTTGTCCGCGGCCTTTGGGCGGGGTATGGGTCGTCCATTGAGACAGCATATCCAGAACCATGGTCTATCAGAAAAACAAGAGACTATTGAATAGTTATGACTCTTTGAACCATGTCAAGTAAAATCTATGATGCAATAGCACTAACTTAAACAAAATACAAATTTGAATAAGGACGCAGTCCTACTTGACAATATTACCAGCTTTAATTTCGTTGTTCCTTCTCGCAGGAATGCCCTCGACGTCTATGCCATGTTTAAATTGCGATAGACCTATATCCCAAGACTCTTTCTGCTCTGATATATGCCGCTATTTTTTGATGCACCAATCTCTAGCCACGTCGGCGCCAGCAACCACCAATGGATACGGTATTTCTTTAAGCGCAAGTTCATACACTCTGTTTAAGGAGTCGACTCGTGGCAGACAATTATCCCGGAAAGGATTATCGTCAAGCACGATGGAATGGTGCATTACGAGTGAAGATTCCCCATTGAGGAATACGCTGAGAGAGTGTGGAACTACTCTCCGAACTTATGAGAATTCGTTTGATCAATTACGACTCATGAAAAGAAAATCACTTCAATGAATGACTATTCTGAAATTTTCAATAATTGATGTGAGTACTAAAACCACTCCAAGTTTAAGCAAAGATTTGCTTAGGCGGAAACATGATGACTTATGATGACTTGAGACAGATATATCTTCAGTAACAAAGGAAGAGTTCAATTGAAGAATAACACGTTACAAATCTAACTGTTTGGCTTCTGCTCCAAGCGCTCTATTGTGGAATTTCTACCTAATGGCGTGAGATAATTCCCCAGAGATTATACCGGAGCTACGAAATTGGGTAGTTTTCTGAATATATTTAGAAGTTTGCACATTTTATAACACTTTGTGTCTATTGTTGCAACAGCTCGCACAACCTGGACACCGCTTGACAATCATGTGAAGTGCTGAGCGTCATGCTGGATCAATATTTTTGATGACCCAGCTCTATTAGTTTGGATTCAACTTCAAAGCGTCCCAGTGAACACATTTCTGTTATAGTAGCCCAACAAATGCGCGTTGGTCAGACCCTAACATAGTCCTGCCCGACGTGAATGCTGATGTGGGGAACAGGTACCCGAGGATGGTGTGGTAGGCCTCGGCTTTGCGACGCGACTATTGACGGAAGCACTCAAATACTTAGACCTCCACTTCAAGGCGCGCGTCGATATCACTCTCGGCAAATTTTACGATGGGGCCGTACGTAAGTATCACTTGCATGCTCCAGTATGGAAAGCCAGAATAAGCGGGTCCATAGGCGAAAGTAAGACTAAGACTAAGACTAAGACTAAGAGAACTAGAGAACTAGAGAACTAGGATTGTTCCGAACCACCTCCAAAGATTGTACACCCGGTAGTGGGTTTATCAGACCAGACTTCGTTGTGCCTCGACTACGAGCAGCAGAGTCGTTGGATTTGCTCCGTCGATTTCAGGACCAGTGAAATGCAATCCTCATTAATCCTCAGGAGTCTCTCCACCCTTTCGAATCAAGTCCTCATATGCCTTCGTCTTGCCCAGGTGCATTCCACCGGAGTTATGCTGAGCACTAAAGTAAACCGGCATCATTACCTTAGCACATCACTATAGCAGTTTCAACCTTCATCATTACTGACGCTTTAGGGCCAGCAGTAACACTGGTCAAGTCTCTTTGTTTGTGGGACCGGTCATTGCCAACACCTTGATCAAGAACAGCGTGAGCGTGTCCTTTTACCTCATCTGGCACGTTTGGGTTGTCTGGTCCACTGCCATTGTAAATTCTGGCATTAGCTTTGATCATCGACTCTCGGCGTGAGTTGCCAGGTAGCCCACTCACGTTTTATGGCCGCTAACAGGATCAAGATCCTCTTTGGTGTTAGACATGTTAAAGGGTTGATGGCGAAACCTATTCGGCAATTTATTTCTCTTATGCCAAGTAATAATACCGTGAGTATCAACTGGGTGCGAACCATTTTTATAGATTCTGACCTGCATTGTAGAAGCAGCGTGTCATGCTCGTCATGCCTCCGTCATATTTAAGCTTCAGGCGTATTACGTACTCTCCAAGGCCACCACCGAATAACTTGACGGCATTGGTGGATTTACTAGAAAGTAATCTCCAATGATAGTTCAATCGAGGATGAGCGATGCCACAAGCTGTGCAGTTTTGATCATGCGGTGTGAGAAGGATTGGGTGTCTGGTCTTTTGGGACGGGGAAAACGTCGGGCCGAGATCTGGGCTTACAGCGTGCACAAAAAACCAACATTAATCAGCAGGGTTATGAATGCTGTCGGAACGTGGTCGTTACAGTACGGACTAGCACGGGCATAGCCAATTGAGTACTTGAGAGTGTATTTTCTATATACTATAGAAAGTGCAGGATAAATAGGGGATGAGCTTAGTAAGGTCGTTGAGAGCCTTACGATCATCAGGCAGAGGGGTTGCTGAATATTCCTCGGGCGCACTAGTAAAATGGCGACCCTCTTTTGTTGACAAATGCCAATACCGTCGTTGTGTGCATAGAAATGGGTGTCGGATTGACGGATACTGGTATGTGCTAGTATTGAGGTGTCCCATTGAGATGCCTTCATTGTTCTATCTGGATCTTGCTGTTGAAGTGTTATCAGATCTCAGGAGTCGTTCCTAGCGTGTTACAACGCTGGTATGCCGAGCGTACCCCGTTTACCATACAGAGACAAAGAGGGAATGGGTACTTGATGAATAACCCTGTTCTTAGTGGTAAAATACCACCCCTCAGTTCGACAATGGGCTTGGTAGGGCTTTAGTAACCATCACTCAACTTCACCGCCTGGCCATATACCACACTACACATCAACACCTCGTCCATACTATCGTCCACGCTCATCAACGCTCATCAACGCTCATCAACGCTCATCAACGCTCATCAACGCTCATCAACGCTCATCAACGCTCATCAACGCTCATCAACGCTCATCAACGCTCATCAACGCTCATCAACGCTCATCAACGCTCATCAACGCTCATCAACGCTCATCAACGCTCATCAACGACCATCAACGACCATCAACGACCATCCAAATACTCCCCATTTTGTTCGCTCCACGCCCTGATGGCAGATCCATTCTATTGCGGCGGGAAGACTAGTCGGCCGCAAACCATTAAGACAGGAGGGTTGGGAATACGGCACTCGATAACGAAGGTGAATCATGAAGTTACGATTCTGATATTGGTTTGCTTCTATCTAGGGCTCATTTTATTTCTCCAATGACGATCATTCGAAATACAAAATACAATATCAAGATGGTGCGCAGGTCTTTGCTTCTTCGAGTACTCTTGATACTCGAATACTGGTCCCTAGCACCACGAAGAGGTGCCTGCACGGGCTAGAGGGGCTTTTCGTCGCAGATGTCCCTGCGAGGTGCTTTTTTGTCGCAGGACCTAGTCTGCGGAGAACTTGGTAATGCAGCGGTCTCCTGCAGAGAACTTGTTAACGCAGCGGTCTCCTGCGGGTCTCATTTGTCATCACAGCGTCCCCCTGCGGAGTTCACTTAGTAACGCAGCGCCCCCCCTGCGAGGATTATTGTTGACACAGACCTATCCTGCGAGACACAGTTGATAACGCAGAGCCCGTCCTGCGAGGCACACTTGATGACGCAGAGCCCGTCCTGCGAAGCACACTTGATGACGTAGAGCCCGTCCTGCGAAGCACCTTCTTACACTCGCGGGGCTCATGGCAACGAGGGAGCACATGTCTTACATCGCGGGGCTCGGGGTAGCGACAGCCGTGGCCATGGAGACGCTCAAGCCCGTAAGCAAGAGGGACACCATGACACATCGGAGTGTGAGGACCGAAGTCCTGATTTTTTGGGCTGGGAATTCGGCTCCTTTTATAGTTTTTCGGCTACGTCTCGACTAAGAAACCACTTGCGCAGTTGGTAGCGAGAATCACTGTCTCGTTATTGTCGTTGAAAACATTTGAACAACGTTGAAATGGTGTTAGGAGACCTTGTGGCCTACAGACTCAAGGTTCAACCTGGATTCATTGCTTTCACAACCTGCGTTGAGTGTGGTTAACCACTTCACCAACTCTTGAAAAGACAGTGATACCCCAAGAAAATGATTCTCACATCATTGAAATTGCAATTAAATCGCTCAACGCGGTGGCAGACTACTCTGCCCGTTTTGACCATGGTCACTAGCCATGGTCACCGTCTGTTTCATGAGGGTTGAAGTGCTTCAACAGGTGCCGCAATAATGGATTGGACAATGTGGCAGACAGTCAAATTCGATTGTACCGGATGTTGGCCATAGGACGTGCCTCCCATTGATCCAATTACAGTCCTCTTTGTCTAATTCTACCCTCGCACTACTCGAATGGTACTTTTGTATGTCGCTCGCAACCAGCTGATATTGCCTCTACTAATACTTCTGCTACCTGTCCGTACGGACACTACGAACATACTCCCAAGTCTAGGTATTGGTTGTTTTCCTTTAACAGAGAAGCAAAAGTCTATACCTTGTTGGCTAGAATATAAACCCGAGTCCAGTTTCCATGATAGTGAAGTGAGTTATTTCAGCTACCATGGCTCACGAGCTAGATTCTCGTGATCGCCACCCCCTCGCCAGATTGCAACGCTGCTATCACACCGATGAGACCCTAGATACAAACAGCACCCAACGGACCAATCAAACACCGGGCGTGACTTTAGACAGACGCAGGTACGGTTCAGCGATGCAGATCCCAGGGACGACCCACGGGATAGCAGATCACGGAGGTTCTATTTGTGGCCCGCAGAAGAAACCGGAAGGATCTGCAAGGGTCCAGACACGATCCACAACCTAGTCTTGACGGGCCGTCAGAGTACAGATGGAACAGGTCTTTGTTGCTTGGGCAGTCGGTTGGGGCAGATGAGGTATTTAGAATATCGCAAACTTTTCTCAACGAGGTCCGATCCGCGGTTTAGTTGCCCTCGCAAGACAGACTGGTCCTTCGTACAGGGGGAAGCTGCTGCTATCTTTATCTAATCTATAGAACGTTCTAGAAGCTATGTCTTTTGTCTTGTATAAACCTTCCTCGTGCAAACTATACTCTCTTTAAGCCTGACCCATCCTCTCCATCTGCCAAATCCCATCGCTAATTTGATATCTCTAGCAGATGGCTTGTAGAAAATATGCCAACTACGGACAAGCCACATGAGCTTACGTAAAAAATGTCTCCGGTTTTTGGACTAGAACAGAGACATCGATTGGCTCCCGAACAAGGGTCGGCATTGTGGGCCGGCACTCCTACGGCCCTTAACTTTATTTCAATCACCTTGCGCATCTTGATCATGACGCTGAATGTAGGAGATCTTCCTGATAAAGTATTGTGTCTTGCAATATCATATACATGATCCGACCGAGAAGTTGGTGATTCTGCCCTAGATCTCTTTAGAGCTCCAGGGCTTAATTACAAGCAACCTAAAAGCGAGTGGAGCAGAGGCTTGTAGATAAGCTTTCCTCGAGGATCATTAATGACAACCGCATTCTCTCACCGAGCGACCTTTCCCATGGTTCATCGAAATTTTATTTCAGGACTCTGCGATTGATCGACGACCCCAGCCAACTTCTACAGTCTGTGGGATAACTTTAGTCAATCCATGACCTTGTGACCCCCTCGCTATTGTTTTGATTCCAAGGATGCTTGGATATATTGCGAACTATCTGAATTCATAAAATAAATCCTCCGTCCCTAGCAACACCTAACAACCTTCATTCATTGAGATAATTAGGATCGTTGCTCGGAGATCACGATGTAGCGCGCATGCCATCAAACCACTGGTAGCATGAACGTTCTGCTCAGCGTTATCTCAGCTTTATCGCTGCACAGACACGATGCACATAGTCCCAAATCTGCGATAACGGTCGTATTTCTTTATGTCGCGGATGGCTGAGTAGTGGCCTCGCGCCGCCTGATATGAACGATCAGTTTGTAACCAATAGTGGATAAAGGTCGATTCATACCTAGTCTCGAGCCCTTCTCCTCGGTTGACTCAATGCCATCGGTATGGATAGGGTCGGCGGTTAGAATTGTGTGAAACCATATTGCAGTGTTACTTTGGCCAGGACCTTTGTTTGGAAGCGGTTCCAATAAAGCTCTTCCGCCCACCGATCGACGAGCGGCTCCTGCCTGGCTTCTATTCTCTGAAAACTTAGGCAGTTTGGCACCAGTACCACGTTGCTTGCGCAGAATATGATATTTTTTACCTCGTAGAGACTCAACGCTTCGGCGCATCTGATGTTGTTCATAATATGCGTCGGAGCGGGCTTTCCACGGCAACGCCCGGTGTGCATCGAGCCAGGAAAGAATGTTTCCCTCCTCCCATTCCGACCAGGCTATTTCGCTGCGAGGAGACATAGTGCTCGCATGAACTAGCAGCAGTCAGAGATACCTTTTTAGGCAATGGCACGATTTGAATTTCGTGCGGATGGGAAAGGTGAGCTTAAACCCCCTTCAGGTCCCAGTGAAAAGCTAAGATACTACCGTTGGTTGGTTCATCAGAAACTTTCAAAAGCGCAACAATATGACCCATGGACCCTTTTGGCGTATCAATTCAGCGAGTCTGAGCTGTTAACCATCGACGCCGTATTTCAGACTCTCTCGGAGCCCCAGCGTTCGAACATATCCCTGTCTACAGTAGCGAGGAAACTTCAATTTCGTGCTTCTAAAGACTGCTCTTGGGTGTAGCTACTGCGCGCTGAAATGAAAACAGCAGTAAATTCTCAGACTGAGCCCCACTGGATATTGAATAATGTAACATTAAACAGACTCTGGTGGCAAACATGCAAAGTTTCCCCACCTAAAATAGAATGGCTTTTATGACTCATTGGCCAGAATGTATTCCAAAATAACCGACAAGTG